TTCACCCAATTTCATCCTGGGGTGTTTAATACTTGTGCATTTTAAGGCAATTAAGAGAAACCTAACCATCCATCCTAACATCTTTTGAGACTGTCGACAGCCCTCCATTCCTTCTCCCTGCGGTGCGTAACCCTCCCACAGCAGTCACCCTCTCTGTCCCCATGTGTGACCCTTTGGCTTCTGGCTAGAAAAACCCGGGGCGTGCTAGCTTAGCTGAGCCAGTGTGTTCACAGTCACCCTAAACAAGAGCTGCCCGTGGTGCTCTCTGGGTAGACCCTGACACTATCAAGGCCCTGGCCCACAGGATGCCACACGCACACTGAGATTCACAGAGAGTACCCCATATGCCCAGATCCACCCCTTTTTACATATGAAGTGTCTGGGCTTTGGGGAGTGCAACCAACCCACCTGAATTCATCTGTTTGGGAATCATGGAGGCCAGATTGGCACTGGACCACTCATGGGAAAACGCATTGGTGTGGGTATGAGTCCTGGAGGGTGCATGTGCCACTAAGGGCTGTCCACAGTGCCAGGGAGAGGATTCATCCTTGCTGAGATATGGGGAGCCATGCACTGGGGCAGGGCGGGACAAGGCAGTCCTTCAGCTGTCTTCATGCTGGATTCTGTGTGGGAGTAAACGGGAGGGAAGGGCAGGGTGGTGGCTGTGCAGGTACCAAGGGGAGCAGTGCTGGGGTGGGGACTGGCAATGAATAGACAGGAGGAGAAGGGGCAGGGCTGACAGATGTTAAAAAGGTGGCGTTTCCCTGCACTGATGGCAGCTGGATGCAGGAGCCCAGGAGCTCAGGCATGGAGGAAAGGTGGGTGGTCAAGGCCAGGGTGGTTCTGCCAGCAGAGTGTAGAAGAGTCCCCCAGGGCAGAGCCTCGCTTGTGTGTTTCTGTGACATCTTTGAGGATTAAAGATCCCAGAAGTCCCTGCTCCAGAATGAAATCTCTATCCATGCGTGTGAAGGAAGGCAGCCCCCAAACTCCATTTCTCCTCCCCCTCCTTTCCCTGGTCCCTTCGTCTTGGCTCAGCAGATTGTTAGCTGTTCCCAGGACATGCACTGTCCCTGCTTGCCTCTCTGCCCATTTTCATGCTTCACCCTCCACCTGAAATGGTTTTTCCTACACTCTGTCTGTCTGAATCCTGCCCAGGTGTCAGGGCCTTCATGGCTCTCCAGGGGCCCTGCAGCAGTCTCATCCCAGGCCTGTTCTGATGGGAGCAGCACCCCTTTTCCACCTCTGGGTGTGCTCCCATCAAGACATTCTGGACCCCAGCCTGCTGCTCTGCTTTGGAAAGTTCCAGGAGAAGGGTGGGCAGGGAGGGTGACAGGGCTGGCCAGATGCGCATTCGAGTGTGTTGATGGATACTGGGGAAGGAGCTGTCCTCCCAGGGTGCTTGGGACCTGCTCTCGCCCGCAGTGGACCACGCTTCTAACCCACCCTGTGCCCCGCGATGGAGATGCCAGGCCTTCTATCAAGGAACCCAGCCTCTCAGCCTGCAGTGTGGTGACGAGGCAAGGGCTGTGGGGCGAAGCCCTCTCACCCCAAGCTCAGGCAGTGTAGGGGAAGAGCAGGAAGCCACCTTGGAGATGTGTGTGACAGGGGACGTGTGTGCCAAGTGAACAAAGGAAGGAAAGGCCTTCCGGGCCTAGGGAAGAGCTGGAGCAAAGCAGATTCCTGTCAGGTCCAGAGGTGGCCATCACCCCACAGCCAACACGGTAGATGCAGTGGGAGAGGAAGTTGGAGCTGCACCAAGCTGCAGATCTTGGGCTTTTGAAAAATGTGTATGAATTAAATTGTCAGAGAGTTGAAAGGGAAGGTGTCCAGGGAGGGACAGAGTCTGAACAGAGGCAGGGGTGGGGCACAATTGCCCGACAGGAGCCCATAGGGAAGGTGATATACTGTTCCCCAGAGTCTGGCGTACTCTCCCCAAGTCAGGAAAGTCACGCAGCTCCAAGGAGTTATTAGGCTTTGCTGCTCACAACCCTTTCCTGTCCGGGCCCCCAAGGAACAAAGGGAAGAGCTGCATGCTGGGAGGACGTGCTGCACCCAAGCTGGCTCCTCTGTTTCATGATGGGGTGCACTTGGCACAAGCTGCTGCAGGCAGACAGGGGCAATCAGTGGCCTGTCACTTCCTGCCCAGGATTCCCTTCTGGTTCTGATGCACAGACAGGCCCACATCCTCAAGTAAGCCCAGCCACAGGTGGCTCGCTGTGGACCAGCCCCTGCAGAGCGCGGCCTGGGCTCGTCTCCACATCTTTCCAGGCAGCTCTGCCCGGGCCTCCGCTCCATCTGCTGCCTTACACCGGGATGGGGCCCTGTGACACCCTCAAGCGTAACTGCTGTGGCTGCCTCCTCTGTCTCCTCTCCCATCCCCACCTGTCACCAGCAGCTGGGTGGCTTCCTAGAGTGTGGTGTCCTTGGGGTGGACAGCGAACTCGTCAGCCTGGCCTCTGAACGCCCTGCAGACTCCTTGCCTGGCAGAGGCCCGACCCCCAGTGCACCCCTGCATCAGGGCAGAGGACCCTCCACAAGGAGCCTGCCGTCCCTCGGCCTGCCCCACCTGGGACCCCGCAGCTGTCCTGCTCTTTAGTCAGTGTTCCAGCAGTGGGTGGAGGTGGGAAGGTCTGCGATGGGCTGGCCTCCCGGCTGGCCTTTCTCCCACACGCCCTTCCTGCATCTCCACACCAGGGTGGTGGGGGTTCCTCTGGGCATCTCATAACCCCCAGGACGGCTGAGGTCTTGCTCTGCTGCCACTGCCCGTTTCCCCCACAAGTTTGACTGTTAGGTTTCATGGCAGGGTGCATGTCTCACACAGCACAGCCCGGGGGCCAGGACCTGTGTCTGGGTTCTCTCAACATCGTGGCTCACACAGGCTGAGGTCAGTCCTTAAACGGGGGGTGCCGACCCCCACAGGGCCAAGGGAATGAGCCAGGTAGACCATAGAATCTTCCCTCTGCCCGAGACCTCTCCAGCAAGCCCTCCCCTGCGCTACAGACAAGGTGCCTTCAATGTTGGCAAAAGTGAAAAAGGAACAGGGGCCCTACTCCGAAGGCAGATAACCCCCAGGACGGCTGAGGTCTTGCTCTGCTGCCACTGCCCGTTTCCCCCACAAGTTTGACTGTTAGGTTTCATGGCAGGGTGCATGTCTCACACAGCACAGCCCGGGGGCCAGGACCTGTGTCTGGGTTCTCTCAACATCGTGGCTCACACAGGCTGAGGTCAGTCCTTAAACGGGGGGTGCCGACCCCCACAGGGCCAAGGGAATGAGCCAGGTAGACCATAGAATCTTCCCTCTGCCCGAGACCTCTCCAGCAAGCCCTCCCCTGCGCTACAGACAAGGTGCCTTCAATGTTGGCAAAAGTGAAAAAGGAACAGGTGCCCTACTAAGCGAAGGCAGAGCGCCAGACTTCCCACTGTGGCCACATGAGTGGATACATCAGCTCCTTTGCCCCCTGCAGGGGCCCCGAGGTAGGGTGTGAAAGGGCAGGCTTGTGGGAGCCCTGCCCTGGCCCTCAGGGAGTGCAGCTGCCCCCCTTCATCCCAGGCTACCCCAGTGCAGATGGCTGGGGTCATGTGAGTCCTAATCTGCAGGAGGTGCTCGCAGTTGGCAGCTCAACTCTGGACCTGAGGGTGAAGCTATGGCTTGGGCAGGGGAGCTGCCGCCTCTGTCCCCTTCCTCCTCAAGTGTCCCTCCCTCTGCCCACCTGTCCCTAGAAGGCAAAGGCTTAGCACAGCCACCTGGGCTTTGGCATCAGACTTGGCCTGTGTCCTGTCCTCACAGCTCTGCCGTCTTGGGAAGGTCACTTTGCAGTGTCTCTGAGATGGGGCCAGTGGTGGCACATACTTCACAGCTGTATGCCCAGACACCCAGCCCCACAACTGCATGCACACAGCCAGGATAGGGTCAGACGGTGGGGTGAAGCGGGGAGCAGCAGCCAGTCACCCAAGGTCAGCCTGCCACCTCCCTGGGCCAGCATGTGAGCTGCACTTTGTAAGCAGTGTGTGGGGGGTGCGCACAGGATCATCACTAGAGGGGACACTCTTGCTGAGTGACTTACATGAATGAAGGCTAGAAATTGCCTGGCTGGTCCCTGGCCTCACCCTAGAGTGATGGGTGGGCACAGAGAGGCAGGAATGGAAGGAAGTGTAAGGTCGGAAGGCCTGGCCAGTAGGCTGGCCAGCAGGGAGCCACAGGCTCTCATGTCTGTGTCAGTAGCTTCTGGGAAGCTGTATCGAGATTAGGGTAGGAGGAGGCAGGGAGGACTAGGATGTCAGAGACCTCTGGTAGGAGAGATTGGTGCCGAGCAAAGGCTGCAGGGCCAGGCAACCAGGGTTTACAGGAGGCTCTGTGCTCTCCGCTCACTGTGATTCATTTCCTCCTCTCCATCCACCACACACACATATTTTACCCAGAAGCACGACATGGCTGTGCTGTGCCCCTCGGTGCCCACTGCCCAGCACAGGGCCTGGGATGTGTTGGGCACAGGCAACTAAATAGCCAGATGATTAATCAGATACTTGTGTGGTTATTCTCATGGCAGTGAGCAACAGACAAGGCCCCTCGACATTCAGTGTCTCCTGCCCTTTGGGTCCTTCTGTCCACCCTGATGGTGGCCACACAGTCTGAAGTATGGACAAAGAAAGAGATAATGGCCCAGAGGCCCGGGACACTGCCCAGAGTCCCCCAGGAAAGAGCCCTCAGACCCAGGCCTGGGCTCCATGGTGGGGGTGTCCGTGCTAAGACAGCACATGGGGACAGAATCTCTCAGGCCTACAGTGGGAAGAGTACATTCTTTCCACCCTAGCAGCCCGTTTCTCATCAGATTTTGGGTTTTTTCAGGCCCTGAGCACTTGGCAGGGAGCTGAACTGGAGGTCTGGGAAGGCCGGGCAGGACAGGGGCAGCAGGGGCTGGGGTCACGAAGGCCTGCGGGGGGCTGTTGTTGAGCGGGTGGGTCCTCAGGCAGAGCGCACTCCTCACCAGCCTGTCCTGCAGTTTGAAGGCTGCAGCAAAGCCTTCTCCCGGCTGGAGAACCTCAAGATCCACCTGAGGAGCCACACGGGTGAGAAGCCATACCTGTGCCAGCACCCGGGCTGCCAGAAGGCCTTCAGCAACTCCAGCGACCGTGCCAAGCACCAGCGCACCCACCTGGACACGGTAGGCCTGGGGGCGGGGCGCCTCATCTTTGGGCCCCGCTGCCTGTGTGCAGCAAGAGCTGAGTCTGTAGGCAGAATCCAGGTCTAGCCCCCAGGCCTGCTTCTCTGCTCCTCCTGCCACTGTGTGAGGGGCTCTGTGGTGGGGCTGAGAGAGCCGAGTGGCTGTGAAGCCCTGCTTGTTCCATACATAGGGAGGGACACAGGCTCAAGAGCACCACTGACCCATCTAGGCCAAGTTGGAGGTTGTGAAACAGCAGAGGTCAGAGCGGGAGGGACCTTTACAGGCCTCTGGTCCAAGTTCTCTATTATATAGCTGGGAAATCAGACACAGAAAGGGTGCGGCAAGCGGGGGCAGGGGGGTGGACCTGCTACAGACCCCCACCCTGCAGTATCAGAGAGTCACCCCAGTTTTATCTTGGTCACAACCCAAGGTGTAGGGGTGCTTACCTCCACTTTGTAAGGCAGGGAAGCGAGGCTCAGGTTGAGTCATTTGCTTGTCATTGGGTGGCAGAGCCAGGACTCACACCCAGGGCTGTCTGGCTCCGCGTCCAGTGATTTTCACCGGAAAGGCATCGTCCTGAGCCCAGCCTGAACTCCACTCCCTTACGTCCCAGTCTTCACTGTCAAAGGCTCCACAGAGAGCCAGAGTGCATGGCAGTTCTAATGAACCCCCGACCTTTGGTCACCTTCTCAGCCCTGGCCAGTGCAGGATTCCTGGTAGTGTCTCCTGGAGGCTGCACAGCCCCTTGCCCTGTCCTTGTCTACCAGGAGGTCTCAGGCCCCAGCGATCCCCTGCCTGGCCCCAGCCCCAGAGCAGCAGCGGCCTCTGGGCCACCTTTGTGGGGGGGCGCAGTACCAGGGCTGGGTTGTGGGGAGCCCAGGATGATCCCACAGGCTCCCCAGGAAGCCAGGCAGGTGTAGTCAGCAACCCCGCCCCCAACCCTCACGGGCCCAGCAGGTCAGGCTCCAGGCGGGATGGGGCTTTTTTCCAAAGGGAGCCCGACCATGTCCCCAGCTCCCCTGGCACAAGAGAGGAAAGTGTCCCTGGATGCTCTGGTTCCAGTGCTGCCTCTGCTGCCTGGTCCCAGAATCAGAGGAGAGCTGCCTTGCCTTCTGGGCCTCGGTTTCCTTAGAGTAAGACTCCTGCATCTGGAGAAGAATGGGGAGGCCTGGGAGGCCTGTGGTGGCTGCAGTATAGGCCTCGTGCTCTTTGCAGGCTTCCTGTCCTGTCCCAGGTGTCCAGGGCAGGGCTCTAGTCCTGGCAGCCATGGGTCCTGTGGGGACTTGAATAAGCCGCCCTCTCGCTCTAGGCCTCAGTTTCCCCCGGATGGGGTGGGTGATAACCCCCAGGGCCCACTTCACTGTTTCAAGGCAGCGTCCAGGAATCATGCTTCATCTTCCTGGCCGTGAGGTCGGAGGCACATGTGGGCCTCGATTCTGTCCATGCAGAGTGGGATGCATCAAGGGGTGGGCATGGGGCTCAGAGGACATCGTGGGCAGCCAGTGCTTACTTAGCATAGCACCTGCACCCACAAGCACCGCAACAGAGAGCTACTCCTGGAGCACATGTGGCCGGGTGCCTAATTAACACAGACAGATAAAGCGCCCTGCCTGGCTTCACTCGGAACATTGTGGGGACTCTGCAGGCCTGGGCTTCGGCTGCTGGCTTGGGACAGCCGCAGGGTTTCCTGAGGGCTTTTGGGGAGCTGGGGCTGAGGAATGTTCTGTATACGTCATGCCCTGGAAAAACAAACACGGAGAGGAGCCTTCCTGCCCTGTTGCCAGGGGAGGGCGCCTGCAACACAGAGCTGTTTGTTTGCTTTTTGACAAAAGGGTGTGGATTAGTATCAGCATCCCTAGGTGACAGGGCCTGAGGCCAGCTCGGGGACAGGGCAGGGCCCATGGGGGAGACAGGGCGTGTGTTGGGGGTTAGGGGCCATCGGAAGGAGGGGCCGAGTCAGAGAGAGTATGGATGTGTTTTGGGGTGAGGTCAGGGCCGTGGTGGATGTGTGCGACTCTGGCGGCAGGTGGGAGACAGGCCTCCCCTCCTGCCCTGCCACCTTCTGTTGGCCTAAGATAAGCTTCTCACTCCTCTCTCCCTCTTTTTGCTTTCCTCCGTTCTTTAACCTGGCAACCTTCCGGGGCAGCTCCAAGGTACAGTCATGTCTTTCTGCTTCCCTTCCCCTCAGGTACCTGGCCCGTGGGCCCCTCTTCCCTGCCCCCGCCCCCCGAGCCTGGCAGGGGCAGAGTTGCCTGCGGTTTAGGGACAGCTGCACGTGCTGTCTAATGGGACACAACCACCCTCGGGTCTTACTCTGAGAAATATCATTTCCCACAGACACTCTCCTGTCCCCATCTCCTGCAGTTCCAGAAAGAGGGCAGAAAGTCCCCAGGGTCAGAACCACTTTATGTGTTCAGAAAGATAGGCCTCATGAACGTCCAGCTCAAGCGCAGCCACAGTCCCCGACACCTGGGGTGAATCAGCTGCCCCGGTGAGAAGGAGCCTGAGCAGACCCAGCAGCCCAGTGCATGACACTGCTGCTGGGAAGCTTGGACCCTGGAGCGGGCAGGAGCCAAGGATGACCTAGAAAGGAGGCAACACAGCCGGGGGCGGGCAGGGGGCAGCTGTCAGGGGAACCTGTGCCAGGGAGACTACAGCAGGGCCTATCTCATAGGGCTGGCGGTGCCGGGCGTGGCCTGTGTTCTGAGCCCCAGGGAGCCATGAGGGATTCGAAGAGGGCACGAACATAGCCGGCTGTGTGCACAGTCCTTTAGGGCATCAGGTGGTGCCTAGGGCAGGAGTCCAGGCTGTGCAGATAGCTTGGGATCCCAGCTTTTCTTCTAGATGAGCAGTGAGGGCAGCAGGGAAGGGCATGGCCACTCCCCGTGCAAAGGGCACAGCCCCACACCTCTCGCCCCAGCTCTTGTCAGCCAACTTCTCAGCCAGCCCTTCCTGACCTCCTGCGGTTGTTGTGTCAGGGTTTTCTGTGCCGCCTGGACACCCCTACCAAGGGTAGTGGGCACCCTGGGCTGGCCTATGCATGCGTCCCCGCCTGTGCTGTCCCTTTTCTTCCTGAAGCCTCCTGCTGTCCTGGGTAGCTGCTCATGTGACCCCTTGTCTGCAGCTGCCTCCTTGCAGCTGTGCAGTGTGAAGGGTGCACTTTCCCAGCACCGGCTCAACTGACCCACCCATAGCGTCGGTTGGGACAGTGAGACTATGGGAGACAACCCTCCTGAGGGCCCAGCTTGGTGGCCGAAAAGACACAGAGCCCCTGCTTGGCTCCCAGGCCAGGTGCCTTCCCTCCCTATCACCCTACCCCAGCAGGTTGCACAGGGCTGTGGCCCTGAGAGGTGGCCCTCACTCACTGGCCTCCACTCCCCTCTGGTCTTCCAGAAGCCGTATGCTTGCCAGATCCCTGGCTGCTCCAAGCGCTATACGGACCCCAGCTCCCTCCGCAAGCATGTGAAGGCCCATTCAGCCAAAGAGCAGCAGGTGCGTAAGAAGGTAAGCAGCCTAAGAGAAAAGAAAAATCTAGGACCAAGCTGTGTCTTGTAGACCCTTCTATATTGCATATATATTCGTGTTATGTAATTGGTTATTTCTTCAAATTTCCTATGCTAGTGTGATAAATCATCAGAGAACCTATTTGGGGTATAAAAATTGGACATGAAAAAAAAAAACAAAAACAAAAGAAGGTAAGCAGCCTCCATGCTGGGACATCTCTGCAGGCTCCAGTATACTCCCTGTCAAGCACTCACCTGTCCACAGGCCCACGGATGTTGCCATCCACCCGTCTAGCCCCTACCTGCCACCCAGTCCCTGACCCTCCACAGACTGACTGCCCTCAGTACCTCTCCCTCTGCCGGCACACTCACCACAGCTCAGACGGTGGGCATTGGTGCCCAGCTGCCATCTCTCACAGTGGTCAGAGGCAGACGCCGAGTACTTGGTACAATGGAACAGGTGGCGTGGGGGTCAGAGTGGTCAGGGGCACAGATAAAGGAGCCTTCGCCCTTCTGTGTGGGAACAGGAGGCTTTGTGGAAGAAACGGTCCCAGGGAACACAGAAGGCAGGGGTTAGAGGTGTGAGCTCCGGAGCCACCTGGGAGGTTTGGTGGCCCTGGGCCAGGTCCTTAGGCCTCTGTGCTTCATATCCTCAGGGCAGTGATGGGCTGGCATTTACTGGGCGAGCCGACACACACAGGACTCAGAGTTACTGTACGTGGTGGATTTACCAACTCAGCAGAAGCTGACGTGGGCATTAACCTAGCGGCAGGAGCACCCGGGGCAGGTGCATTCAGTAGGAACAGCGTGCCCAGAGCAGCAGTGCTGAGCAGGACTGGGCCAAGCCCTCAGCCCGGCAGGGCCCTTGGCACACATCAGTCTCAGGCTGAGGATGGCCAGTGCTATCTAAGGTGCCGCCCAGCAGAAAGGGATGTGTGACACCTTAGAGGTCCCGGCAGGCTGTGTGGGGGTAGGTGGGGTGCTGGTGCCCCAAGCCAGCCTGAGGCAGTGGGGTGGCAGCAGGGGGCTGGCTGGGGCAGACCCGAGGGCACCTTTGCCAGGATCGAGCACCCAGGGAGGCAGGTTTGGGGGAAGGTGAGTGGCACATTCTGTTCCAGAGCAGAGCTGCGTGAGCTGAGGGTGCCGGGCCGTGTGCGAGAGACAGGTTGGGGCCACTCGGTGTCCAGGGGGTGCCGTGGGCAGGGTTCTGAGTGCCAGGGAGGGAGTGGGGTGAGAGAGATACAGGGGCCAATGAGGATGAGGGGAAGAGCCGCCCCCTCCCTCGGCCTGCTGAATGGGGCCGTGTGGTGTCACTGGTCCAGCTGTTCGACCACAGATACAGCCAGGGCCTGAGAGCAGACAGCTCCATCTCGGGATGGGGACATGGCGGTGGGGTGCTGGGAGCAGGACGGGGAGGTCCCTGCGAGTGGGGGAACAGAGGAGGGATGTGGCCAGGGCACAGGCGGAGAGCTCCTGGGGAAGGTTGTGCCTCCGCATTCTCCCCAGGAAGGGGTTCGGCTTTGCCCAGGGGCTCCGGGCCCAGGTGCTGTGCTGGTGCTTCGTGTATTGCATCTCTTATAGTCCCCACCTCCCCCGTGACCCTCGGGCTGGGCACTGTTTTATTTCCATTTTAGAGCTGTGGAAACTGAGGCCCTTACCTGTGCAGCCCAGGAGCATCAGAGCCATAATCCTACCCAGACCCATCTATCTGCTGCCTGAACCCCTCACACTCCTCTGGAGGGGAGCAGCTGATCAGGGACAAGGGATGGCCCAGGCTTCTGTGGGCTGGGGCTGCACACCAAGGAGGCGTCTGTCCCGAGCCCATTAGTGCCCGAGGACCCAGCTCCTGCCTTGGCTTTCCCAGGCCCCGTGCTTGGACCCCGTGGAGCCCCAGGGACTTGGGCGGCAGATCTGCAGGCTTCCCACCAGTGTGCATCCATTAAGGGCCGTGGGGATGGTGCATCTCTCTGGGTAAAGCGACCCTTGTATTGTGACAAGTTCTTGGCAGCCCTGCTGAGCCTCAGAATTAGAAATGCTTTTCTTCCTTAATTCTCCTCTCCTGCTGTTCTAATTGCATCGACATTGCGGTCTACAAGAACAGGCCTCAGCCCCTTCTGCCAGGAACTTCATTTACATGGGAAACAGCTGCGGGGTCAGGGTGCTGAGAGCTGGCGTGAGGCCGGCAGGCCTTCCCCAGCCTGGTCCTGGCCCTCGGGCCCAGAGTTGGGGGAAACCTTGGGCGCTCGCCTATGCTGGGCCTGTCGTGTCCTGGGTCCATTGAGCATTTGGGTGAACTAGGCTCGGGGTCCATCTCTGAAAGCCCCACTTTGGGACTCCCCTCCTGTGTAGGCACCTGTCCCTGTTCCCTGTGCCCTGGCCCCCATTCTGGCCCCATCTGGAGAAGTGAAGATGTTCCTAGGTGCCTGTCCTTGGGAGCGGCCAGGGGTGTTGGCCAAAGATCAGCATGGGTTACTGGGCACACCGCTTGGTGTACCCGAGCCGGCCAGCATCTCACCCATGGCCACGCACTGTGACCACAGCTCAGGCAGTGGGAGCTCAGCCAGCCCCTGGCAGCGCCTCCTCAGCCGTCAGCTCACTACAGAGCAGGTGGGTGGCGTGTGACCACAGCTGCGTATTCCAGGCAGGGTGGGGAAGCCCAGAGAGGTTAGGTTGTTTGTCCAGTGTCACACAGGGAGCAAGAGGCAGGGTGGGACTTGAACCCAGCCCTGGGCTCTTTCCGAAGCCCCTCATACCCAGAAAGAACAATGCTGGGCAGGGCAGACGCTATGTGTCAGACACAGAGTGCACCACCAGCAGCCTTGGGGAGATCCAGTGGCTGCAGCTGGCATCTGTCTCAGCCATGTGCAGAGCCACGTCTCCTGCTGCCTGTGCCCAGCCAGTGAGTGCAGCCCTGGGATCGCCAACCTGCCTGAGAGATGTGGCCTGGACCCCATCTAGGAAGCCTCCCCGAATCTTCCCCGCTTCCCGCAGGGGAGGAGGGCAGAGGGCGGTCCCCTCCTCCTTTCTCGCCTATGGGCGCTTCTTCAATAAGTCCTTGCCTATCTCACCTTGGCCTCTGTTGCCCAGAGGAGCCGGACTAACGTGATCTCAGTGTCCGCCATTAGCCTGTTTTACTGCCAAGGAGACAGGTGCCGCAAGAGGGCCCAGCCCTGTCTCTAAAGGGGGCTGGGTGAGCAGTGGTCTTTTGCTAACAGCGCTTCCTCTGCTTGCTCCCCAGTTGCATGGCGGCCCTGACACCGAGGCCGACGTCCTGACAGAGTGTCTGGCCCTGCAGCAGCTCCATGTGTCCACACAGCTGGCTGCCGGTGACGGGAAGGGTGGACACCTGGGCCAGGAGTTGCTCCCAGGTATGTGTGTCCAGGGGGAGGACAGTGACCCTTGATGCCTGCAGGTCACCTGCTTCTTTGGCCTTTGCTATCTCTCTGCCTCCCTGTTCAATCCATCCCTTCCCTGAGCTCAGCTAAGTAGGTGGATAACGTCCACTCCTCCATGGCTCCCCACTGCCCATGGGTGAAGCCCAGGCTCCTCTCAGCCTGGCCTCCCAAGCCCAGGCCCTCTTGGCATCCTCGTCTGAGCCTGGGCACGTTGGATGCAGTTCCTTGGACGTAACTGCTCTCTCGCTCCCAAGGCCCTGCCTTGCCAGCCCCTCTCCTGCCTTTGCTGAGGGGGCTTCTGCCCTGCCTCTTTATCCCCTCCTCAGGACGTCTTCCTCTGGAATGCCTGCTGCCCCAAGGCTGAGCAGTCTGGACTGTCACTCTGTCATCTGTGTCCCTCACTAGACTCGGACCTAAGCTCCTCAAGGGCCGCCTCCATGCAGAGTTACAGCGCCCTGCACGGGACCTGTGCAGAGCCAGGCTGGGGAAACTTGCAGCCCAGTCTCAGGTGCTGTGAAGAGAGGATGCACTCCAGGGTGCAGTCCAGGCCCTTCCATGGCCCACCTGCTGGGCTCCCTGCAGGGAGGAGCTGCCTTCAAGAAGTGCCCACACGCAGGCTCCACCTGAAGTCCTGGTTAAGCCTCAGCACAACTCCTGCACCTTGGCTGAAACCCCTTTGAGCCTGTCACTAATATCTGAGGCCAGAGAAGGGGCTTCCTGAGCCCCACGCAGCCCCACTCTCAAAGCTTGTGGTCCAGCCGAGGCAAGGCAACCTGTCTGTCCCTCTGCTCCCTGCCGCGGGTCAGGTCTTGGGCCATGGCCAGAAGGCCTGGCCTCGCCACTCGGGACACATTAAGGTCAGCCCAGCATTATAGTCCCTGGCTCCCCACCCCCAAGGAAACCTCAGTATCCAAAAGCTCTGCCACCCTCCGGGATTTCTTGAATTATTGCAACTATTTAAAACATTTCTTATTTTCTAATTTTATTCTTTCTCCCTCAACACTGAAATAGCAGCAGATTTCAAGTTCTGTCAGTCTTTTCTGAGTCTGGGAAGAGCAGACTTTTGTCCTTTTTTGAGCCCACTCAGAAAGGGCACCCCAGGGGTAGATACCACGGAGGAAGGATGCCTCCCTGCAAGCTAGGGGTCCCTCGGCCAGGAGATGCTGCTTACAAGGTCAGAATACCAAAAGGACTAGGCCGGAGGGAACCGGGAGGACAGGCCCGCCCAGGGATGAGGACATCTCAAATTCCAGCTCCCAGCATGGGTCCCAGGCCACTCAATTCCAGGGAAGACAGGGCTGCCCTGGGGCTGGGGTCCTGCAGTCCAGTATCCAGGCTTTGGGAGGAGTCATGAGGGGCAAAGGAAGGGCCAGCCCGGAATCGTGCAGAGAAGTCAGCAGCAAATCCGAGTTGGAATCCTGTTTCTCTCCCAGGTGCCACTCAGGCTTGGCCCAGGGAGTGGGCAGGGTCAGCAGTCACCTGGGCACCTGCATGGGCTGGTCCCTTAACCAGCCCAGCGCATTCACCCTGCAAGTGTTTGCTGTGCTGCAGATGAGAAGCTAAAACCACTGGGACTGCATCATAGGGGAGGGGCCTGCTTCGAGTGTCAGACCTGCTGAGAGACCTTCGGTGTGGGAACATCCCAGGAGTTGTGGGCCCTGCACCCTCGATGGGTTAGGAAATGGCAGAGGCAGGACCTGAACCAGGCCGCTTGCTGCCGGCCGTGTTCTTCACTGAATAGTCTGTTGCTCCCGCTGCCAACACTGTTCCTGGCACCTGCTGTGCACCCCCCGTGGGACCCTGTCCTGGAGCTGCTTCCATGGCAGCAGGGAGGGAAGCCTGGTATCCTGACCTCCCAGGCGCGGGCCCTTGGCCCCTCTGCAGGCCACTCGGCAGATGCCTGAGGCACAGTCGGGAACAGATGTTGGGGCCAGAGGTCAAGCGCTCACAGTTGATGGATGTTGCTGCTTTATGTCTGAAGCAGTACATTTTTGGGGGTGCTGGGCAGGCTTGGGGTCCCCACTGCCATTGCCCCTCGCAATCCAGTGACTCCTCCCTACCCAACATCCACACACATTCTGTGCCTCTCTCGTCACTCTGCTCACCGCTGGGCATCCATCGCAGCTATGCAGACAGGGACCTGGACCAGGGGAGAGGCAAAGGTGGGGGACAGGGAGGGGATGGGAAGGTCAGGAAGCAGCCAGAGCAGAAGGGTGAAGGCGGAGGACTAGAGGTGCCATCGATTGCCACTGTTGGGCTACAAGGAGCTCCTGCAAGCTGGGAGTAGGCCCATCCCCTGCAGACCCAGGTAACTGAACAGGAAGTGAGGATGTGAGAGGCACAAGGTCAGCGTGGCAGTGGGAGAGGGGGCGGGATTACCCAGGGCTCCGGGCCTTCCCAGCTGGCAGGCCCCAAATGGGTCCACAGTGGCAGGTGAGGGGGTACTGCAGAGAGTGACAGTGGCACAGACTCAGCATACTGAGCTCTGCTGCCTCCACACACAGCCCCTCCAGGTGTCCCCAGCCTAAGCCAGGGAGGCAGTGTTGTCAAGGAGGAAGTGGAGATCCCCAGGCAAGGAGGGGAGTGGAGAGTGCTCGGAACACACCTGAGCCCACCCACTGCGAGGCCGGGGCGGTCACAGCTGCACTTGGAGTCCTGCCTCCCTGCTCGCATGGACATGCTTTCCACCCCATGGGACACAGACCTGTGACTGCCCACCGCGGGATGTGGGCAAGGTGGTTCTCTTGTTGAGACTTAGTTTCTTCATCTTAGATGAGACCTTATCTCCCCTGGACACAGTGATGGAGCTGTGGAGAACACGTAGTGTACTGTGCGCTAATAATTACCAGCGACTGCAACCTAGGAGTGGGGTTTTACCTGGTGTGAGGCAGCTGGAGGTGTCCACAGGAACCGTGGACTGTTCCCTGGCCATGCTGTTGGTTGTTAGTGGCTAAGCTTGAAGGTCACTGGGATGCATTCTATTGGCCATGGTCCCCCACACCCTGCCTCTGACCCCTGCATTGCTCTCCTTTGCTCCCCTCCCTGCTGCCCCCGACTCAGCTCCTGCTGGACCAGGAGGGCCAGCTTGCACTGCGTGGCCAGCTGAGAAGGTGGATTTCCCTCAAAGTGCCTGGAAGGGGCCCTGGAACACCGTGTTCTCTGTCGGCCCTCACAGGCGGTGACTCCTGAGGACCAGGGTGATGCTCAGCTGGCCGTTGGGGTGGCCTAAGCAGTCAGAGTGGGCACTGCGCATGCACAGCCCAGAGCCCAGCACCCAGGCTGGGGTCCCCGGGGCGCCAACTGGATACATTGATTTCAGGAAAATAATGTGAGGTTCAGTTCAAATAAGCACAGCTGCATTAAGGGTGAGGTGCAAAGTGTGGCCCCACTTTCTTTTCAGATAAAATAGGAAGCATTAAAAACTTGTGGCCCTGCTGTGAGCCTCTCAGGTCCCTCTCCCAGAGCGGGTCCCTCCCCCCTTCGGGAATGCTGGTATCAGTTGTTCTCAAACCCTTGGCTGGGCCTGTGGACCCACGCGTGACTCGTCTAGCATTTGCTGTTTTGTTAGCCCATCTGTCTTAACAAAGGGTAGCGGTGATAAGAAGGGGCATCGTTCTGCAAGTGTCTTCTGTAGGTTGAGTCTGAGACTAGAATATAGCTCACTCCTAAGTTGCATCCTTTGTGCAGTATACAGCCTGTACAGCCATCCATGGGAGCCCTTTTCAGAGGTCTCCAGGTCAGCATGCCCAGGCCAGATAGTGTGATCATCCTTTCTCCGGAGCCTTTCGCCCGGACACCCAGGCTCGGCTTGCACACCTCTGAGGATGGATCACTCCTTCTATCCAAAGGCAGCCCATGATCCTGTTGTAGCAGCCTTAGAAGGTTCTGCTTCTTCAAGCTTCTCTTTATCCCAGGGGTCCCATCTGCTCCAGAGGGTGTTCTGAACAATCCCCGACGTTTCCAGCACAGCCCCGTCGAGGTTTGGGGCAGCCGGCTCCACATGAGCCCCAGCTGCAGCGCATGTGTGCACACACATGCACCCTCGCCACCCTCTGTCCTTGGAGGGGCCCCGCCCTGGACACAGCCAGTTAGACAGGGTGGGGCCCTAACCTCCTATCAGTACAACCTTGCTTGTTCTCCTCTGAAAGTGTGGCTCTGGGCTGTTGCCATCCCTAGGCCATGGCCGGAGCCCGGTAACACCGCATTTCCTCTGCAGCTGTGTACCCTGGCTCCGTCACCCCTCATAACGGGCTCGCCTCAGGCCTCCTGCTCCCCACCCCCGACATCCCTTCCCAGCACCACCCACTGGACGCCACCTCCAGTTCCCAGCACCATCTGTCCCCTCTGCCTGCAGCCGAGAGCACCAGGGACGGGTAAGTCCCTGAGCCAGTCCTGGGGCACCAGCAGTCATGGGTGGGAGGTGGGCGAGGCAGGTGGCCGTGTTCTCGCGTGTTCCTGATAACTGAAAACCACCCGAGTTTATGGAGCACTGAGTGTGTCCTGTGCTCTGTCCACACTCTCTGTGGCCAAGTGCACTTGTGTCTCATTGACCCTGCCAGGCAGGCAGCATTGGCACTGGGACCGCACCTGTGCTGTGCCCACCCAGCCCCCTCGGGAGCTGCCCTGGGTGGCTACTAAGCTGGCTGGGCTCCCCTGCCTGCTGCCCCAGCCCAGTCTCCAGCCACTGTGCCCTTGCCACTGTGACCCTGGGCCTCTCTCCCTATGTCAGTGTGGTTCCATCGTCCCTGCCTGTCGGCTGGCAGCGGTATATGGGCTAACACTGGCTGCTGAGATCCACTTGGCGGGCACTGGAGCAGAGGGAGGACCCACCTGCCCGCCCTCCACAAGTTTGTCTGTCACCACAGAGCACCCAGGCCTGTCCCCAGGACCTCCTTCCTTCCCTGCTCTTCCTTCCCAAGGCTGCAGCCTCTGGGGGCTGCTACCAACCCAGCTCCTCCTGCCATTCACCCACCCACCCCTCTCAGGTCCACTTGTGGAGCCCTCAGGCTGAGAAGCTAACCAAGGAGGGAGTGGGACGGGCCTGCCACAGGGGTAGGTGCTCCGCCAGAGAAAGCAGAAGGCTGAGGGGGCCCTAGGGGTGTAGTGTGTGGGGCCGGGAGGTGCAGCAAGGGAAAAAGCAGGCTTGGTGACAGCCAGGGCCAGACCATGTGGCCCAGGATGGGCTTGGGCCTACAGGTGTCAGGTGGCCCTGCGTTCAGGCCTGGGGAGGAGGATGTTCTGGCCGCAGCATGGAGCTGGACTGCCGGGGCCGGGTTGGAACGTGGAGTGCAGGACAGCAGCCTGAGTCAGGGCTGGGTGGGGAAGAGCAGGGCAAGCAGGTTGGGAGACCCCCTAAGGGCTCCACAGAGCCGGGCAAGACTGGCTGAAGCAGCCTGAAAACATGGGGACCCAGAAAACCAGGCCCTGCTTGAGCCCCAGTCTCTTCCTCTGTATAAAGGCATTAAATGCCCTCTAGGAACACAGTGATAGTCGGTCGCTCCTGTCTCCCTGTGCAGACTCCACCGACACGGGCCCCATCCCTGGTCAGGCCACCTGCTCACCCACCAGCCAGCCCCAGGCAAAGGAAAATAAACCACGCAGCCTTTGTAGCCCGGCCTGCACTCTCTACCCCACCTCATTCATCAGCTGCCTGCCGCCGCATAAGTGCCCGTCAGGAATCCCCACCATGAGTGAGGGGCAGAGTGATGACAACACGCAACCCAGCCCTGCCCACCGCTGCCCGCAGAGCAGGGCACCAGCCCCGCGCTGTGGGCAGGGGCCTTTGGGCCTGACATGGGTCCTGGACTCTGCTGAATGGGTTTTTCCATCCTGGAGAAGAGGGGCTGAGAAGGGCCTCCAGCCTTCCCTTCCTGCCAAAGTCAACAGGGGACAGCCGCGAGGCTCCCCAGTGGTTTGCTGGGATGCTAAATAGCTTGACAGAATTATCTGATTTACTCAAAAATATTCTGAAAGGGCCTGACTTCATGACTAAATGTATTTACCCTGGCTCAGGGAGATTTGGATTAGGGCAGATTTTTCCCTAGCCCTGTGCGAGGTACACAGCCCCCCCGCCTGCCAAGCCAGTGAGGTTTTGTGTTCATTTTTGTGGGTTCTGGTGATAGCACAGGGATTTGATGGGGGTCATTTGCATGATTTTTTTTTTTTTTGGTGGTACCGGGGATTGGACTCCGGTCCTTGCGCTTGCGAGGCAGGCCACCAAACCGCTGAGCTAAATCCCCAGCCCTCATTTGCATGATTCAGAAGAGGGTGCAGGTGAGTGGTCTCTGAGAGCTGAGGCAGACGTCGTGGCCGCAGCCTGTGATCTGCTGCAGCAGAGTGGATTCTGTGTGATTTCACCGCCTGTGAAGGTAGCAGATGTGAATGCATGGCAGGATTGAGACAGGAAAAAGTGTTTTTCCCCTTCAGATGGGGCTCTCCTTAATTCTGCACCAGTGTTCACTCATCTCTGGGGTTTGGAGCTGAGCAATTCAGGAACCCACTTGTCTGTCTTGTCTGCTATTTGCCCTGTGCTGGCCCCAGGGTCCATTCGGAAGCTACCAGAGAGAGCCAGGCTGTGGGTGTCAGATGGGGCATGGACAGAGCAGACTCCGTGGAGGCAGCTGGCCTGTAAAAAGGAGAACCACTCTCAAGACCAGGAGAAGTGACCATGGGGGACACACAGATGTTTTCAGCCCTCCACAGTTTTATCGTGCATAGCGACAGAGCTGGACACAGGCTGTGAGCCAGGCCTGAAAACATCAGGGTCAGTGATCAGGACAAGTGGCTCACAGAACTTAAGAAGGGGACACATTGGTGCTAGGCCAGCGACCCAGTACAGAGGCCCCTGTCCCTGTCCTTGGTGGCAGGGCTCTGGGCTGGCAGGTGGATGATGACAGCACTGCAGGGGCCATGACAACAGGATGCCCGGTCCGGGACGATCAGGGCTGTAGGGACACACACACACCGTGTCACAGAGCCCTGCTTCCTGGAGGCCGGCACTGATCTGTGCCATTAACACCCACCTGGCAGAGGCAGTGTGAAGGGCAAGAGCGTCGTGACAAGGTCACCTGGAGCTATGACGCCGAGTCTGCAGCCAGTCAGTGCAGGCATCCACCAAGTACACAAATCCACACAAGAAAACAGAGGTGGAGCCTGGCTCTCGCTGTGCCTGCATGCAGTGCTTGACAGACTGAGCTTTCGGCCCAGGGGCTCCCAAGCCACTGGGTTTGGGACCTGCGGGATTGGGGAGCCAGAGGGGAGAACCTGGTCTTCCGTGATGTGCAGCCCAGTGAGACTGCTGGGCTCAGGGGGCTCCATGGTCCATTCAGAACATGAACTTCCAGATAGCACGGCCCTGGGCCTGCATCCCCTGTGCTCTCTGTGTGTGGAGGTGCTGAGCTCCCATCACAGGGAGATGGAGAGAGGAGAGGTCCCTCAGAGTGCAGTGTGTGGGGAAGAAAAGGCCAACTTGGACATCAACACATCTGGCTTTTCTTCCACTCTGTAATGATTGATGCTAGCGGTGAATAGATCATGCTTTAATTTTACCCTCATCATAACCTATGAGATCTGTGCTGTGTGGCCAGGAGTACACTGGGCAACCTCTCTGAGCCTTGGTTTTCTGATCTGTAGAAAGGGCACAAGAACACCTGTCTCTAGCCCTAAGGGAGGGGAGAGGCTTGTGAACCAGGCCAGGGCTCTTGTCCTGCTAAGGACCTGCCAAGGCTGCCTGTGCAGTCTGTCGCAAGGCTTATCCTCCACGTAGCCTGAGTGTCACACACAGTTTGACAGTGCCAGGCACCCAGCGGGACAGTTGGCACTCAGTCGTCGAGAGTGTGGTGTCCAGGTGGGGAACACAGCACCCGCAGGGAACGAGAAGCCTGAGCCTGAGGGAGCAGCTCTGCCCCCATGGCCCAGCCCACGCGCTGATGTTTCTGTCCTCTCCAGGTTGGGGCCCGGCCTCCTCTCACCCATGCTCAGCCCACTGAAGGGGCTCAGGCCACCGCTGCTGCCACCGTCCTCCCAGAGCCAGTCTCCAGGGGCCCAGCCCTTCTCCCCGCTGCCCAGCAAGCCACCCTATACCCCCTTCCAGAGCCCCCCACCCCCGCTTCTGACCAGCCCACAAGGTAAGCCCTGGACAGACCCGTGCCAGTCCCTCCCCACGCGGAGGGGTGACACACGGCCTGGGGGGACAGGTGGGTCCTCGGGGAGTGGCAGCCTGGGAGATGAAGGCCATGCTGGGGAAACCAGGGCAAGGCGACCTGAAAGGCCTGGTCTGGAACTGCGAGTGTGGTGCACACCTGCAATCCCTGCACTCCAGGAGACTGAGGCAGGAGGATTGCAAGTTCAGACCCAACCTGGGAATTTGGTCAGATCTTGCCTCAAAGTGAAAAAGGGCTGCAATGTGGCTCCGTGTGAAGGCCCTAGTTTCAATCCCCTCAGAAGGATGAAAACAAACAAAATGCCTAGAACTGTCCCTACAGCCAGCAGGGAAAGGCTTGCTGCGTGCAGGAATAGCCGGGAGTGGCTTTGGTGGCCTGAGGCAGGGCCAGCTGTCCCCTCCCAACCAGGGGCCTCCACCTCAGCATTCCCAGGACCATACCTGGGCCAGACAGCGCTGGGGGCTGCAAAGTGTGTGACGGACCCGCCCTCCCGCAGGCTACCAGGGCAGCTTCCACTCCATCCAGAGCTGCTTCCCCTACAGCGACTGCTACCGGAGCGGTGAGCCAGCAGCCAGTGGGGACGGGCTGGCCGGGGAGGCCCCCAGCTTCACTCCGCTGCGGCCCAACGGCTACCCCGGCCTGGGTGCGCCGTTACCCACCGCAGGTGAGGGGCTGTGCACCTTGTCCCGAGCCTCTCAGATGGCCTCTTGGGATTGTTGGGAAGTTTAGGTGAGGGCAGGCTCAGGTGACCATTTAGTGAGTGCTCAATAAATGTCGATTCCCATTTTGGGGTTCCTTGAGGCTGGTGGGGTGAGGAGAGTCATTCTGCCAGGCGCGAAGGAGCTCAGAAACCCCACATTGCGCCCCATCGCAGCCCTCGGGGTGGGTCCTGTGGGCCAGTCCTCACAGCCGGACAGCCCCAGAGGGCAGGGGGTGGGGGGTGGGGAGGAGCCCTGGGCAGCTGGCTTGGGCCAGGGAATGGGAAAGACAGCCGCCTCCCTCCCTGACCCTTTCCGCCTGCCCACAGGCTACGAGGCCCTGTGCCCCACGGCGCTGCCCCCACAGTCATCTGAAGATGTGGCGTCCGGTGGCCCTGAGGACTGTGGCTTCTTCCCCAATGGCGCCTTCGACCACTGTCTGAGTCACATCCCCTCCATCGACACAGACACCTGAAGGAGGGCAGCCCCGCTGGCCAGCTCACAGATCTGTGTCACCACTTGCCGTGGCTCCCCTGTCCCCGGCCCAGGCTGGGCCAGCTGGGCTGCCATGCAGGGCTGAGCTGAGAGGAGCCCGCCAGGGACCAGGACCGTGTGACAGGCCCTTGGTTGTGCCTTCCTGTTTCTCTCGCCTATCGTTTTGAAATCACAGACCTCGTGTATATAAAATGTATGGAACTCGTTTCCCATTCCCCTGCCAGTTTTATATTTTTGTTTTACAAGAGAAACATTAAAAACTGGAAACAAGACTTTGGGGCCTGGTTCTGCTTTGGGATTGAGCCTAGAGGCCACAGCCAGGCAGCTCCAACCAAGCTCAGAGGAGTGTGCAGTGGGGAGCTGGGCTTGGGGCTCAGGAGGCCCCAGAACCAGCGCAGTTCTGGCTGTGGGGATAGAACCAGTGTCCCGTCTCTCGCCCCATGCTGTGGCCCTACCGACCCTGTGCTGGTCACAGGTAGCAGTGCCAAGCAGGAGCAGCCCCTTCGATGGGTGAGGAGACCGAGGCAGGGAGGGGATCAGGGACCGGCCCAGGCCCCACAGTCAGACTCACAGCCCTGCTGGCTGCACTGGCCTCAGCCAGAGAGAAAGCGGGCATGGGTTCTGCTGCCTGGGCCTGTGTGAATGAAGATCCGGGGTGGGGAGCAGCAAGCCTTTGGGATAGCGCCCCAGCCACCCCAGAAGGCAAGACACGGACAGAGCCCTGCGTCTCACCTGTCACCCTGAAGGCCACCCGAGAAGGTGGTCAAGGAGAAACGGTGTGAGGGAGGTCACATTTTTACATGCCAGCTGTGTGCTGGGCCCTCCCCCTGCTACTGGGCATAGCCCCAAGGAGGCCTTCTCCTTTGTAGCTCAGCAGCAGCAGTGGACAGGATTCACATCCAGCTCAGACTTTGTTCCTGGCCTACCCCCATTTCACAGATGCACAAACAAAGGGACAGGGAGGTCACTTGCCCATGTGACAGCATCTGGGGTCCAAACCCAGGCCCCATTCCAGCTCCATGCCCACCACCACCCCTCTCTGCCCCTGGGGGACTCGGAGCCCTGGTGCCCACCTCCCTTCCCAGCCTTGCCTGCCTCCCGAGGGCCCAGCTGAGCTCCCTGTGTGGTGGCCCTGTCTCCACACCCATCAGGGCTCCCGACTCCCATCCAGGGTCCCCTCGCCTCCCTTACCCATCCCCAGTGATTTATGGAACTCATTAGGCCATGGCAAAATGCCTTTAACAAGGACGTTCAGGAATCGGTGCTGCATGTCATTGTGAGCACTTAATCTAGTCCAGATAAGCAGAATTAGGCTGTACAATGAGGACATATTTCTATTAATAATGAAAAGGGCCGAGCCCTGAGCAGGAGAACACACAGGGAGCTGGCAGTTGGATCCCATTTAATTTCAGGGAGCAGAGAGAGGGAGAAGAGACGAAGGCAGAGAAGCAAAGATAGTGGGCTCACAGGGGAAGCGGCAGTGGCCGAGGCCCGGCGTGGCCTGAGCCCTGCACCCCAGACTTGGGGTCTCTGTGTGACTCTTTTCTGTCCCCAGGGACTGTCTGCTCCTCTGGCACCCTTGGGGCTCCTCCACAGGACAGTACTGGAGGGTTGTGGGGCAGGAGAAGCCTAAGCTCCCTTCCCGACCACTTAGAGACCTGCAAGGCCGCCACCCTCTCTGCCACGCCCTGTGCCAAGGCCTCTGCAGTGACCAGCTCAGGGGTCCAGGGCATGGTGAGGGCTCCCCTAATTGACAGGGAGGTGTGGCTGTCACTGTCATGGGAGAACTGGGTTGCGGGGAAGGGGCTGGTATTTGTCACTACCCGAGGGACCGCTGAGGAACAGGCTGCTGAGAGGCATCTGTGGGGTCTGCCCAGGGCACCTAGGCCCGCCGGGGCCACTCTGCCCTTCCAGCCCAGACAAACCACACTGCATCCCAGCTCGGTCACATCCAGGTTGAGGTCAGCACACGCATACATAAACACACGTGCTTACAGGCAAGCACACGGAGCTCTGTCTGCGTCCCTGCTGTCTCACGACTGCTTTGCTTGTTTCCCTCCCGGCCTCCCCCGCCCTCCCCATCATGCGCGCTTTATTCCCTTTATGTCTCTTCTTCCTGCCATTTTCTTTCTTTTGCCGAAACACCCAGCACATGGCAGGTGCTCGTTACCTGCATCCGGACACCTCAGCGTCTGCTCTCTGGCAGAAGAGAGAAGCCGGACGAGGGACCTGTGAGTGAGGCCATCCTGTCCATATGGGGCACAGCTCTGGTCGCGGAGAGGGGAGCTCGTGCAGAGAGGGTGAGTGACCCGCGGTGGAGATCATAGGCCTCGGGCCCCGCCCACCTCTGTCTCTTCATGGCTGCTGGCTCCTAAAGACCACAGCTTCCTCGCCCCGCTTGGCAAGGTGGGGCCATTCGCAGAGGAGAGAGCTGCGGCTCATGGAGGTGACTTTCCCTGTGGCAGTCGGCAGGATGGGACGTGGAGCCAGGTTGTGGCACCTAGCACCCGGCACCCCACCGCCTTGCCCAGATGGTCAGCTCAGCAGCCTGGGGAGCCCCTGACAACTTCAGGCAGGGGCCCTCTCGTGCATCCAGGGGGGGACCCGGACACTTTTACAAGTCCTGATTTACATACTCGCCTGGCCGCCAGCCCTGCCAGGGATTTACAAGTTTCTAAGTGGCTGTGTCTCTGGGGGAAACCAGGAAGAACTGCAGGGCAGAGCCAAGGCCTCTCTTCCTCCCAGGGCCCGGGGGCATCCTGGTGCCAGGCTGGGGTCTGGCGGAGCTATTTTTAGGGCAGAACAAAGTCCTGGAGCAGCCCAGGGCTCAGCGGATCTGGAGGAGCTGGTGACATGGAGGGTCTGAACTGAAGCTGGAGGCCAGGTTATTCCCCGTGGTTTTGAGACTTTGGAGTCTTCCAGGGAATAATCAGCTCTGCAGTGTGCAGGCTGGGATTTTGTTGCCTGCTCGGTGGCACAGGCAGGTTCAAGTGGCCAGACTCAGCTAGTCCAGGCTGAGGCTGTATCTAGGGAGCATCTGCAACCTGAATCTGTCTTTCTTCTGTGACTGTCCTGTCACAGCGGGGACCTTGTTGGTGGTCCTGTGTCACATAATTGGGGTCCAATAAATGCTTTGAGTTAATTTGCAGGGACAAAGGAGAGTACTGCAGAACTGGTCCAGGATGGGGAAGGGTCCATTAACCTCATAGTCAAAGGCACTAGGGGTGTGCCTGGAAGCACAGGGGACTTGGATCCTGGGCCCCACCCCAAATCTCTGTGGGGTGCCCTGGAAAGAGGAAGCAGACAGCTAGGAGACTCCTGAGCAGGCTGGAGGCAAAGCTCAGATTTATGAAAAGCACAGCTCTCTGAAGTAATATGGACTGCTTCAGGATGGAAGTGAGCTTCCCTCTCTAGGAGGATCCAAGATCAGGCAGGAAAATGAAGACTTTATGAGCAAATCCTCAGTAGCATGGGAACTAGCAGAAAGTGTCAACAACTGGGAAACAGAAAGTGTCAAAAGCTTCTGTACTGCAAAATTAACCATCAACACAACTAAGAGACAATCTACAATGTGGGAAAAAAATTTTACCAGATGCTCCTCAGACAAAGCACTATTATCTAGAATATATAAAGAATTTTAAAAAATCAGCCCCCCAAATATAAAGACTGATTAAAAAATGGGTATCTGAAATGAACAGACATTTCTCAGACAAAGAAGTAAAAGCATCAAGCAAATGTTATTTGAGAGATGGCTGGGTATCTTCCCAAAAGAATTAAAAGAATCACATCAGAGTGATATATGCACACCCATGTTTATAGCAGCACAGTTTGTAACAGCTAAAATTTGGAAACAGCCCATTTGCCCATCAGTTGGAGACTAGATAAAGAAGATGTGGTTTTTCTATAAAATGGAGTAATACTCAGCCATAAAGAATGTGGAATTAGAGTCATTCATAGGAAAATGAATGCATATTGAGGATATACTCTTAAGTGAAATAATTAAATCACATGTGTAAATACTGAACAGTTTCTCTGGTGTGAAAAACTATAATTGTACATAAGATCCTAATGGTATAACTGACAATGTGAAATAGGAAGAAAAGGCCTAAAGGTGTAGGGGAAGTGGGAAGGGTAGGGAAAAGGAAATAAGGGCAAAGAAAAAATATGAGAAAATGAAAAAATGGAAATAAAATATTTGTAAATAGGGAAGGGAGGAGGGGGTGAAGGGTGGGCAGGGGTAAGGGGAAAAAATGAGAACCAAGACCTTTCTTGTAAAGGTACAAGATCCCAATGATGAATGTAACTGTACAGTATACCTAAAATGTACCAATAAACTTAATGAGAGAAAAAAAAGAAAGGAAAAGGAGGCTATAATCTGGAATGGAATGTTTATGATTGAAGGTCCAAAGACGGTCAAGGAGATTGTATATCTTGTCCCAAATTTTCTTTATGGCCATCTGTTCTATTTAATGAGAGCAGCCTGCTGTTTGCAGAAAATGGTATGTTTGCTACGAGGTATGACACTGGACACCTGCCCAGGCACCAGCATTGATTTTAGCATCTCCTGGACCAAGCTGATAAGTAAGGAGGGAATCATGCTCTTGCCAGACCCTGAGACAGACCAGGACCTGCAGCTATCAGGCCCTGGCTACTCAAAGACAAGCTCAAGACAGCTATAACTGTGTTGACTACCCCTTCTGTTTCGGTTACTTTCTCATTCGTGGGACAAAACATCCAACACCCACAAGTTAAAGGAGGAAGGGGTTATTTCAGCTCAGTTTGTAGAAGTTTCAGTCCATAGTCACTGGCTCCAAGGCAGAGAGGAATAGCAGAGAACACAGTCCATAGTATGGCATGCAGGAAGCAGTGAGACTTCCTTCTTCCCTTTTTATTCTGTTCAGGCTATGAGCCTGTTGGTTGGTCCCACCCATACCTAGGAAACTCTTCAGTAAGTTTATCATCCATACCCAGAACTATACTAAACCAGTCAGTAGATTAACCCAATATAATATACCCATAACCCAGTACCCATAATGCAGGTGGGTGGGGTGAGCAGGGCTCTGGCAGCTGCCCTGGGAGCCTGCATCAGAAGCTTCCCCCAGGGTCCCCACAGTGTGGAAGTGAGGGAGCAGGGGCAGCAGGACACAGGGTCCCTCAGCCTGGGGCCTGGGAGGATGTGGTGTGAGGGGCTGCCCAATACTGGGACTCTGGCCGCGGGTCCGCGTGCGTGGTCTTGTGCAGCTTGAGTCTTTGGAGAATGAGCAGGGTCCCCACGGACCCCCAGAAAGTGTGAGACTCAAGCACCCGGTATTGAGGAAGGTAGGGTGAGAGGTGAGGTAAAAAGAAGGGGCTTGGTAGAAAGGCAGCAGCAGCACTCAGACTCCCAGGTGCCCACGAACAGCTCAGCAACCTGCCCTCCTCCTCTATCACGTTCCATCCCTAGAGGCCCAGCAGGAGGGGGTTTAAGCTCTGGGGGAGCTGAGCAGGGGACCCTGATCCAGATGTACCAAGCAGCTAAGACAGGACCATAGCACAGGAGACCGAGGAGCCTTCACCAGGGAAACCATTCCCTAAAATGGGCGTTTTCATTCTGTCCCCCAAAGCTGACTCACCAGCAGGGCACCTAGAAGCCCACAGTCTATCACCACCCCCGTCAGGTGGGCCTGTACTTACACTCTTGATACAGGTCACCTGCCAAGGGCCACAGGTGTCAGTGCAGAAAACCTGGCGGGGACAGAGAACTCCTGGGCAGCAGAGCAAACCCAGACCACTGAGGGGACAGTGGGAGGGGCCGTCGAGGAAAATGCTCAGAGCACCAAGACAGAGCCAGAAATAGGAAACCACTAATGAGAAAGTCTGAATATCAATCCAGAAAGTGACGGAAAGTGAAGGAAGGGAAATTATCAAAGAAACAACATAAGAAAAATTTCCTGAACGGATGGACGTGTATCCTGCTTGAAAGGGGAGGCGGTCATGGGGAGGGAGAAGGGGGGTAGACAAGGAATCGGAATACCATCCAAGGTAGACAAGGAATCGGAATACCATCCAATTTCACGCAGCAACCCTGGAGGCTAGAAAAGGGAAGCACAAAAGACAGCAATTTGGAATGAAGCCAATTTTTAACCTAGAATTCTATGCCCAGCTGAACTATTAAACAATAGTGAGCGTAGAATAAAGGTTTTTTTCAGACTTGTGAAAACTAGCCAAAAAAAGAAAGAAAGTATTTTCTGTGCCCTATTTTTCAAAATGAGGACAAGCTCCAGCAAAAGAAGAGAATAAACCAAGAAGTGTCACAACAAGGAGCCAGGGCAGGAGGGTCAAGGAAAGACTGTACTGAAAAACCAGGAGAGCAGGGGCTGAGATGCACTGCAGGGGGACGGTGACAGCAGGCGGTGTGGCACGTGGCCGCCAGAGAGACGGAAGAGTTAACCACAGGAGCGTGGGCTACTTGACATGTGAGCAATCAAGGCCACTACTGCATTCATCTAGAACAGTCAACGTTTGAGAACAAATCTATCTAATCAGAGTACTTAGATTCGTAAATATTTGCATAGCCATGATAACGTAAGTCTTCACTACCAAAGCAAAGACTCCAGGAGCTCAGGGAAAGGCTGCTCCCCACCCGCCAACAAGTCCCACAGCTGCCAGGGCGGGTGGGGGGTGGCCTATTCATCTGCGCTCTGGAACAGAGAGTGTGACAGCCATGTGCCACACCCCCCACCCCGCCCTGCAGGGCACCTGAGTCCCCAGCTCAGCTGACCAGAGTGGACCTGGGGTTGGGGCTGGGTGAGGTCATTTGAAGACTGTGATTTTTGTAGTATTTTAAAAAATAATGTGTTTGCATTACTTTGTAGAAAAATGAAAATTAAGGTTCCACAGGTATATGTAACCCCTCTTGGCGGTGAAGGGCTGCCCAGACCCTGTCATGGCTGGGTCAGACAGAAGCCCTTCTGGACCAGACCCCTGCTACCAGGCTGCTCTCTGAGCCAGAGACTGAACAGCAGTCCCAGGAAAAGTGACAACTAGGACATCACTACAGCCTCTAGGGTGGTGGTGGCAAACCTATAGCATGTGTGTTGTTTGTTTTTCTTTTAAGACAATAAGTGTTAGTGTATGCGTTGTTTTTTTCTAAACTAAAACTTCAGTATTCGGGTATAATTGCAGCATTGGTGCTTGGCGATAAATAAGTGGCCTGGGGCTGCAGTTTGGGTGTTCCTCTCTAAAAGGTTCGCCATCGCTGGTCTAGGGCACATCTGCTACACCCTTCCACACGGGAAGGATGGTTTAAAACAATTCAGTCCATACCAGGTGTGGTGGCCCATACCTGTAATTTCAGGACTCTGGGAGGCTGAGGCAGGAGGATTGAAAGTTCAAGCCTAGCCTGAACAACTTAGTGACTCTGAGACCTTGAGTAAAATTTAAAAAAAAAATTTTTTTTTAGAAGGACTGGAGATATAGCTCAGTAGGAATATCCTGGGTTTACAGTGCCCAGTTACCCCTCCTCACATGCTTCAATTCATTTATCTTACCCTGGTGAAGTGTGGCAGAAGAAACTTCAGCCATGATTTGTATTTATTTGATCCAAAAGCTTCACTTTGAAAGAGGCAGAAATATGGTTCCACAGGAAATTCTTCGCATTGACCATGACTTCTCAGGCCACAAGGCAGCGGAGACAATTCCCATAATAGCCCACCTGATTCCATACATGTTTCCAAGCAGCCTTTGATGCAGCAACAGAGAAGGGAGCCCAGAGCCCCTGCTCCTGAACATTTCAGCTGCTCCCTGCCCAGCCCATCCCCACCTCCAGCTACGTTTGCAGCCTGGGCTCTACCTCACTGCCCTTTCCACCTGCATGCCAGTGGGGTGATGTTTGGGGGTGCAGTGTTTGGGGGTGCCAGGTCTCCTGCCAGGGGTAGGCTCGTCAACCACGGGAGCCCCCAAGCTGGTGGGAGATAACTGCAAACAGTGAGGGATGGCCAGGCTGCCTGACCCCAGGAAAGTTCAGGGGCCTTAGAAGGACCCTGCCCGTGTCGCAGCCCCAGCCCTCCTCCACCCTGGCCCGCTCCTGCCCCTTTGGCTCTTGCTTCCTGCCTTTCCTGTGCTGCTGCCTGTCTGTAACACTGCTTCCTGGGCCCCTGGGTCACAGCCACTCACCCTGCAGCGCTGCAGGTGGTCCTCTCCCCTCCAGGCTGTAGGCCTTTCCCGGGACGCAGCAGAGGTGACCTCTCTGGGAGCCCTAGAGCATAGTGGGGCCCCTCATGGACAGGAGTTGGTGGTGCTTCTTGAATGAAAGATGAAAGTGTGCTTCTTTCACAGGACAAGCTACATCCACCCATGACAGTGGTGTCTCATAAGCCCGCTCTGGGGCCACTTGGAGTCTTCTACCCTGGAAGCCCTGCCCTGGGTTACGTCTGGGCTCAAAGCCTTTCCTCCCAGGTTCCTCTATGTGCAGCCCCTGACCCTGGTCCCAGGGGCTCCTCCTTGGATGTTCCCAGTAAGTAGGGGAGAAGCAGAGCCCACCCTGGCTCAGCAGCCTCCTGCTGTGGGGATTTGCAGGCAGGTGGGCTGGGAATTGTCTGGTTCTTGGTGCTGCAGTTTCCTCACTAGCACAGGTAGGGCCTGTGCCTGCAGAAAAATTGCAGGGAACTCCAAAGTCCCCAGGGTGGGGAGGCAGCCTGACCTCAAGACTGTGGTGGGTAGTAGGGCAGGCACAGAGCTGCAGGATGCATAGGGGGGAGGCTGGGGGTCCTCTACCAGACCAGTGATCTCCAACTTTCTACACCCTCTCAAGGACGGCACCACCACTGGGCACTGGGAGAGAGCACTGGCAGGATTTGCCCAGTCCGTGGTAGACCTGGGATTTGAGCCGGGCCTCCTGCCTCCTCTCAGGGTGGGACCGGCCATGTTCCTCAGCAGATTTGCAAACTGGCACCTCCTTGCTGCTGGTACCCTCTTGAAACAGTGAGACCCAGCGAGCACACTCAGAGGGGCCACTTGGGTTGGGTCCTGGCGCCCCCTCGTGGCCATTCCTCTACTTTCTCGGCCGACCAGGCTGGATGCCGTGCTTGAGGCCCAGGGAGGGGAGGAAATCTGCACCAGGTCCCTAAGGCTGCAGGGGACTGTCCTGGGCGGTGGTAGGGGCCGGAAGCCTGCACCCCTTCCCCGAATTCACTGAGCAACTGGAAGAAGCCTCTGACCACAACCAACCCGAAATGTCAGGGAAGAGCGAACAGAAAGGACCTGAGACACACACTCCTGTTGCCGGGAGGGTCACGACAACACAGGGGAGCCGCCTGCCCAGGAGCCTCGGAGAGTGTGGTCCCCAGAAGAGGCCTGCTCTCCAGACTCACCTTGCCTTCAGCTGCTGCCCTGTCCCCTTACTGTCTTCTCTGTCCTCCTCCTCACAACCCTCCCTGGACAGCAGGCTGAGGATGAGCTTCTGTGCTGCCCACCCCCAGGTGCTCCGTAGCCCCTCTGCTCCTCTCTACACCCTCCACCCACTCAACAGCGAGGACCACCAGGTGCCGGAGCTCCCTGCAGACAAGAACCTTCTCGTCTTCCTTCTCTCCTGCCTCCCAGGCCCTCAGCTGTCAGCCTGGTGTCCTACTCCCCGAGCGCCACTGCTGGAACCATCGAATGGACTCCCCGTGACAACCATTTCTCAGCTCCCCTCCTCAGCCACTTTCTTCGCTCCTTTTCTCATCAGTGCTTAAAGAAGTTCTCAGCTCACACACACACACCTCCTGTAGATCCTTCCTCACCACCTTTCTGGCCACACCCCACTTCATAGCTCAGTTTTAAATGAGGCATTATAGTTGTGTGTGGTGGTGCACACTTGTAATTCCAGCTCTTTAGAAGGCTGAGGCAGGAGGATCACAAGTTTAAGCCCAGCCTGGGCAACTCATTGACTTATCAAGACCCTGTTTCTGAATAAAAAAATAAAACAACAACAACAAAAAAAAGAAGGCTCAGGATGTAGCTCAGTGCAAAGGCCCTGGGTTCAATATCCAGTACTGAAAAAAAAAAAGAGTTGTACTCATTTGTTCTTCCTTTCTTTCTACCTGCCCCAGGGTCATTCCACAACCTCCATGTTCTCAGTCCAGGGGGTCACCTTCCATCACACCCAGCCCATCAGCCTTCGACTGCCCACTCCCCTGGAATCGCCCCTCACCACTGCTGTCCTGGCTGCCTCCCCCGGCTCCTGTCCCTGTCCCCAGATGGTCCCTCCCAGTGAGGCCTCTCTGAGGGCCTCTCTTGGACCAGCCCCAGCACGCCATCCGCCTGCCCAGCTTCTCAGGGATGGGGGATCCTTCAGATTCCGCACCTAAAACTTTCTCCCATGTTCCCTTCCCAGGGCATCATATACTTGGCCAGAGATGGAGGCGCTATCTTGGTTCTGTACTGGAACTTGCACGGGCAGGAACCTGGACGTGCTGGAGTGACACCTGGGTCACCAGAGACCATTCAGCAGGCGGCACATTCATCACCTCTCCAGCTTACGCTGGGATCGGGGAGCCCCTGGAGCTGGGGCAGGTGAGATGGGTGGACCCCTTCTGGCTAGTAGCAGAGGTGAGCCTGCAGACAGGGCCGGCACTACACCCTGCACTCTGACTCCGGGCCTTGGCCTGTGCTGTTCCTCCTGCCTGGAGCACCCTTCTTGCTCAGTGCTAACGCTTCTGGCCCTTGCACGTCAAGCCTTCCCAAATGTCCATGCTGGTTTGGGTCATTCTCCAGAGACAACCCACAATCTTGGGGCACCCAGTTCCTCCCCACTCAACCCCAGAGAATTTTAGTTCCTCAAGTATGCAAATATGCAAAGCTCACACATGTCACTTGCTCTGCCAGGACCTGTCTCTGTCCACCTTGTCCCCAGTTTCTCTGGCGGAAGCCTTCCCTGCCTCTTCCATGCCATCCCCCAGCCTCCACTCCCATCTGCCTTCTAAACCAGTAACAGTTGACCCTCCCAGCACCGTGGGCACTTGCACACATCCATCCTACAGTGCAGTAACAATGACCGGTATCCGTCTTCCACAGATGGGAAATGAGGTCCTGTCTCCCCGAACCTGGCCAGAGCCAAGCCCCAGGCTGGCCAGGAAGGGCTTTCCCAGCCCAGAGTGCCATAAACACGTGGCTCCAAGTCTGGTTTAAATGGAAACCAGCCCAGGAACCCACCCCAATCCCATGCCCTGGCTGGAGGCCTCACATCTCCTTTCGTGCTGTTTATTCTTTTGAACAAATTGTGAGTTTTACAGGGCATTCAAGGCCTCTGGTGGCAGACATGTTCCATGGTGAGAGTGACAGTGCCTAATGGGGTGAGGCTGTGAGTGTAGCCGGTGGCCTCCCAGGCCCCGTTCACCATACTCTGGGGGCAAGGGCACCCTTGAGCTCACTGCCGCAGGGCCCTGCAGGGTCCCCTTCTGGTCCCTAGTGCCAGCACCCACAAGGAGAGCCCTCCTGTACTCTGAAGAAGGTGGAGCCTCTGCTTGGCAGAGCAGGAGACAGACTAGGGAGAGAGGGGATTGCCAAGCATCTCCGGCTGATGGAGAAGCCGGTGCATTGCTACAGAAGCATCTGAGGCTTCACGGCCAGGGCAGCAGAAGGCTGAGTGTCCCTGCAAGAGCGTGGGGCTCTCAGAAGCAAGCTCTGCATCCCCGGGCTGCAGGGTCTGCATGTTGAAGTCACTTACCCCCCAGGCCTGGTTCTCTTGTGAAGAAAAAGGGGATGGGCCCTAGCTCTGTAGCCTATTGCTTCTGAGGAGAGAGCATGCCCCAGACACCTCCCAATCATCAGCTTGTGCCCCTCTGAGTGGCCCAACGATTAGGCTGTTCACATACTCTCGTTTACTGATTTTACAGCCACTGAGGTAAACCAGCTAACCAGGACTTTGTCTTTCAAATTCTACTGAGTAATAGTGTCCCTGTGTTCCACTCACCTGCCAAAAGCCCCAGCTCTGAACAAGTGAGGCTTTTTGGCAGGGGGCATTCTAGATCTAAATCATAATACTCGCTCTCTAGCTATGTATGCAGAATGGGGTGTGGGTGGGGAGGAGAGTGGGAACAAGGAGGCTCGTTAGAGCCCATTGTCATGGCCCAGTGGTTGTGGGGTGAGTATGGTGGTGGCTGATACAACTGAGAGCTCTTTTCTGCTGTGCTGAAATTGGGATGTGGGGCTGGCTGCTCTCCCTGCATCTCAAACATACCGATCTCATCTCTAGTCCAGTCTGTGTCCCAGGAGCTGATCGCCAAAGACAGCATCTTGGGGCTTGCTTTCTGGCTTCCAGCTGGAGATTGGAGGGCAGGAGGAGACAGAACTAGGACTATCTCCTCTACAGGGACAGATGCGTGACACACCTGTAGCAAATGTGACTGAGACAGGAGCACTCACAGAGGTGCTGAAAGGGCCTCTTTGGATTTTGGAGGCTGCATAGATCGCTCTGCTGGTGCAAGCTGCTGTTTGGGATGGGCCTAAAGGAAGAGTGGGCTCTGCATGGGATCCAGGCGAGGGCGCCAGCTGTGCTTCCCACAGGCCCTGTGACCCAGCAGGTCCAACGGGGCATGGAGTGTCTGTCGAAGCTTGGGCCTGGGTGGGTCCCTGGCGTGCTCCCTACAATTGCAGCACAGGCTTCTGTGCTTGGAGATGACATGTGCCCTCCTCCAGCAGTGCTTCTGCACTGGGAAGCTGCTCAGTCTGGCCACTGAGTCCTGGCACACACTGACCCCCTGGCCGTGGACCCAAACGGCTGTGTGACCCAAGTAGCTGGCTGGATGACTTCCTGTTGTCTGCCCAGCCTGCCCCCAATCTACTCTCCTGACTTCTCCCTGCTCTGTGACCCAGAGGCTGAGCCTTGTGACTCCTGGCTTCTGGTAGGGCTCAGCACAGAGGAGCTCCAGCAGCAGAGTGGAGGCCGGGGGAGCAGGACATCTCTTCTCCAGCTCCCTTCCTGCAGGGTGTCCCTTGATGGGAAGTCACTGTTGGCTCACAGCAGGCCTCCGCATGACTCTTTCTCCAGGTCCCACTGGGTTTAGGGAAGCCAAGGGTCATGGGTGCCCAGGGACTTGGAAAGAGGGAGATGGAACACTGGTGACAAGAGGGAGGTATATACCTGGACCTCTTACAGTGGGGACAGTGTGGGAAGGTCCTCACATCCCCTTCCTGCTGCAGAAGCGGTGCTGGATAATTAGCTGAACAGGATGGCCCATTCTGTGCATGCCACTTAATCTCTTTCCCTAGCGAATCCTGTCCATGTTCAATGGACCATGAACAAGTGACAGGAGAGCAGGAGCCTTTACTCTGCCTAGGTTGCCATTCTAAAATCCCAAAGGCTGGATGTTTTAAGCAGCTCATAATTCTGGAGGCTGGGAAGTCCAAGATCAAGGTGCTTGCATCCCCAAGATTTCCTACTTTCTAGGCAGTCAATATTCTGCTGTGCGTTCTAAAGATCTATTTGTGCGGGGTGGGGGGGCATTCTTGTAACAACACTAAATCGAATAGATAGAGGATCCTTTCTCATGTTCTCAGTTAGCTTTAATTACTTTCTCAGCGTAATCTCAGCCCCATCCCCATGTATAGCCACTGGAGACAACAGCTTCGGCACATGAATTCTGGGGGAACACATTCAATGCCGAACTACCGAGATAAAAGTTACTTTCTCGTAGACTCCACAAGGTGGGCTTCCTCTCATCAAAGCTGTTTCACTACTGCTGCTGAGGCCCAGGGTGCCAACAGCACAGGCCCACATTACCGGTGCTGTTCAGATGATACCAGGTCTAAGAAACCACAATGGTGGCCAGTTGATTACACTGAACGCTTTCATTCATGAGAGGGCAGCAATTGGTCTTTTCTTGTGGAATCTGGACACAGATTCACCTTCCTTGCTGGAGACTTCCATCAGTATTGCCATCTATGGCACCACAGAATACCTTGTCCCTGGCCCCACCGTATGGCCGCCAACCCGCGAACTCAGTTATAGAGACAGAAGTAGGGTGGTGGATTTGCACCTGGCAGCTAGCCGGGGATGGGAGAAGGACCCATCAAAGTTGTACTACAGCCCCAGCTGGCAGATAGCACCCTGGAGGGCGGGAAGGTGTCCCATAGGATAGGGTATATATCTGAACCAGTGATCAGTATTATATGGTGCTGTCTCACACCAGAAATGTGCCCGCAACAGCTTTCCTGAGATGAAACTCCTGTGCCACTTGCCTATTCTGTGAGTGTTCATAGATTCACACAGCTGTGCAGCTATCATCAGAGCCCACTCATTCTTACACCTTAATAACCTTAATGGGGATTTGTTTTCCCTCTCTGCAACATGGCAGATAACACTGGTGCTCTGCCTAGACTCTCTATTTCTGTCTTTGGGCCTCTCCTGGTGCTTTTGCCTCCAATAACCACTTTTGAGGCTCTTTTCAGAGAAAATTCCTTGGACTCCCAGAGCCTGCTTGGCTTACAGGCTCAGCTTAGCTGCAGGCCTCTGGAATGTACTTCACCCTGGGGCAGCAGGAATCTGAAAGACCAGCTCTTACGTTTCATTTGCAGATAACCCCAAGAGTGGCTTCCACTCTGGAGCTCCCCTGTGGAATCAGGTTGAAGCTGAAACCTGCAGTGACTTATATCCTTCCTTGGCATCTTTCCCTTCCCTGTCCTACTTTTGCATCTCCTTATGGGTCTCCCCAAGAGCACTTCCTTAATAAATCACTTGTACATACAACCTCAACTTGGTATGGATTTCTGAGGCGTCCAAACTAGGACAGTGATGTGGCAAGTTTGGAGGTCCTATTTCTCAAAGGCTTCCACCAGGAAACACAACCATGGCACCATCAAATTAGACTGGAGCTACCTGCTGGGCACTCTGAACTCCTGATGAAACTGAACGTGTGGATGAGGAGTCACTACAGTGGCCCAGGTTAGCGATTTTAATCACCAAAGGTCCTTGGGCTCTGCTGCACAATGGGGAAAGGAGAACACTTTTGGAAAGCTAGGGATCTGTGAGGCTAGGGAGAAGTATCTTCAAATCCTCTAAACAACAGTCAGTAGAAACTACAATAAGCCACAAAGACAGGGTGACTAAGGGCTAAGGCCCATCAGGGTGAAGAATCGGGTCGCCTAACAGGTTGAGAATTACTCCAGCCATTCAGAGAATGTGAGAGGCACATGGTGCTAGAAAAGAGGCAGTGATTATCGACCTCTGCCTCTCCATCAGCTATAGACATGGTGACTGCAGCAGCTACGGTATGAGATAGCCATGAGGATTGATTTCTTTTCCACATCCTCTGACATCTACAGAATGTTCTAGTCTAGGCTCTGGGTGGGACTGTCTGCAACGACATCACTTGTATGATGATTCCCTACCTGTTGGATGTTGCGGCCCCCCACCCGTTTTTGAAAATGAAAGTTTTTTCCTCCTAGGGTTGCAAAGGGGTGGGCTGTGATAGTTGCAGTTTGTCCCTCCCCAGCCTATTATTTGCCCTTCTCTGCACTCTTGGCTACAGAGGCTGAGCCAGGGCACTGTGAATTGCATGGTCAGGCCCTTTTGCCTTTGGGTTCTAGCTGGATTTGGCCAAAGGAAGGCACTAGCCAGAGATTGGAGGGTGGGACAGAGCAAGGCAGGGCTGTCTCTACCTAGGCCTTTCAGTGTTCTGGACAACTGTTTGGGGCTGTATTTCTAATCCAAAGGCTGAGTATTTCTAATCCAAAAATCTGAAATCTAAACTGCTCCAAAATCTGCAACTTTTTTAGTGTGAACATCATAACACAAACTCCACCCCTGACCTCTTGGAGTATCACAATTTTAACACAGGCACACAAACTATAATGAATAAAACTATTCTCAGGCTATGTGTATAAGTCGTGACATGAATGAATTTTGTGTTTAGACTTGGGTCCTATTCCCAAGATATCTCGTTATGTATACATATGTAAATATTCCAAAATCTGAAAGTGGAAACACTTCAGATAAGGGATACTCAACCTGTGTATCCTTTCATGACCACAGCCCACAGGGCTGATGATACTGCATAGAATCCAGCCTATTTTGAGCTCTGAGAATTCTACTCTCTCCCTCATTCTTTCTGCTCCAGAGATGGTAAGGGATTCCTACTGCTGTCTCAAAGGACCTCAGTATTTCTTGTGTTCCCTTAACCCTGCCCACAACTCTGAAAGTGGGACTCTCATTAAAATCTTTTGAACTTTCTAAGCTAGTTCTTGTTTCCCACTAAAACTCACACTGCTAGGACAACTTTTAGAAGTGCATTTAAAAGGGCTGAGTTGATAAAGGCAGCACACATCCTGAGCTCAGCTTGGCACCTTCCGAACACTAGATGGAGCTAATGATATGGACCTAGAAGAGCTATCCTGAGGAGGAACATCAGCAAGAAAAGAGGGCCCAGGATACCCCTTGGAACCCAAATCCATGGTCAGGCAGAGAAAGAAGGAGCAGCCCAGGAGGCAGGAATCAGCTGACAGAACTGTCATAGAAGCTCAGAGAAATGTATGCAAATTGTGTTAGGTGGTCAAAGGAGCAAGGACAGAGAATCAATCCCTTGTCTTGGCCTCAAGGTCATCTCTGAGGCCTCAAGGTCTTCTTGGTGGGTGAGTGAGATATGGCCCTTGCCTTTGAAGAAGGTAAAGGCAATGCCATCTTGGGGAGAGAAGTACAGGGTGTGACTGGCAGGACAGAGCAACGCTGGACCCTTAAGACCAGACTATGGGATGAGACCTGAGTGGGAAGGCAACCCAGGCTGAAGGTACTGCATAAGCAAGGCCTAAGCATGTAGGTAAAAGCTGGTGGCACGGGACAAAGTGGCACAGAAGTGCCTGGGATGGTCAACTGAACTGGGGCAGAGAGCAGTGGGAAGCAGGATGTGGCAGTGCTCAGATCCTGGTATTGGGGTGTTCGTGTTGGGATGCATGAAAGAAATACCCATCTCATCCTAGGAATCCAGCACAAGGCCTGGCACATAAATGCTGCAGGCTGGGGATGAACATAGGCTATGCCTGATGTTGCAGATGGTGGCTGACATCACTCCATGACTGATGTGAATATGCCATGGTAGAAAAAAAAAAAAAACTGGAAAGCAATTCAAAAGCCAGATGTAGAAAAAACACTGACTTAATTAAAGACTGATGATTGAAATGGTCAGGGCTTCAAAGCCCGGTACATCTCACACATCAGCAGAAGGTGTTGCAAACTCTTGTTTTTTCTAGAGAGCAATTGTTCCAGCAAGTGGTGGACAACATTGGGAAGCAATTCAGTGTTTGCTGGTAACTGGATTGCAGTTGAAATTAATGACCTGTGAGTCAGGAAAAACAGTGAATGAAGTCTAACAGAACATCCTGTGGACTGCATCTGCTTCTAAAGAGAAGGAAAGTGAGCAGGAAGGAAAGAAACAAGGGAAGAAGGAAGGAAGGAAGGGAGAAGAGGAGAGAGGGAAAAAGAGAGAGAGAGAAAGAAAGAAAGAAAACAGATTTTTTTATTCCGATTTTCAAAAGAAAAAGATGAAGAAAAGACACCACCCAGCAGCTAATTGCTCACAGGCCAGTGCCTGTGCTGGCTCAGATGCAAGAGCTGACATGATAAAATGTTAGCATCTTGAGATCTGTTGTTAATAAAATGTAGCACAGAGGCATGGAGGGTTTTACATCTGCTCTCAGGATACTATGCAGCTTGGGGAGCTCTCTGCAGCCCACCTACCCATGCTGGCTTACCAGGGTTGGTGTGGAATCACTGACCTTGGGCTCTGGGGAAGAGGCCCAGGATGTCACAGGTGGAGGATGGTCATCTCCTGAAGGAGTGGAATGTGGGCTGGAGGCTACTTGCCAAGATATCTCAGCAGCTAGGGATTGCTGACAAAGGGCCACTGAATGCAGAAGGTCATTGTGGTGATCCTGCTAGAGAGGAAAAATCTTAGCAGGAGAAACCTTTAGGAAACTAAGTAGCAATTATAGCAAGAGATCAGAGGCCATCTACCATCTAGTAGTAGGGGACTGATCACACAATTAAGTTGCATTGATTCAATGAAACAATACATAGTTGATAGCAAGAAAGAAGGAGAGAGAGTGGGGAAGGAACCTGAGGATGTAGGAAAAAGGACTCTAGGTGTTTGCTTCTTTCCTGGAAAAGGCACAAAGAGGGACATCTCCTCCATCATGACTGCTACTCCATTGTCTGGCCTGTCAGCAAGTTCTATGACTCTGCTTCAAATAGCCCCCAAACTCTCCCATTTCTCTTCCTTATTTTGGCCCTGATCTGCTCTAGTCTCTTCCTCTTCTGACTCAGTCCTCCCCCCTCCCCACAGTCTGTCCTTGTGCACACCTGAGTCAGAACACATCTATCCTCAGCTCAAGAACATTTCATGGCTCCCACTTCATTCACAGTAATACCCAAAGTCCTCCCCATGGCTCTAGAGACCCTGTCCAACCTGCTTCGTCACTGCCCTGACCTTATTTCTTTTCTCTTTCTCTTCCTTACCTCACAGCTCCAGTTTTCCTTATAAAAATACCAAACACAGTATGGCCTCAAGAATGAAGAAAGGGTGTGGTGGCATACACCTGTAATTTTAGACTCTGGTAGACTGAGGCAGGAGGATTACAAGTTCAAGTCCAGCCAGGGAAATTTAGTGACTCAGAGAGACCTTGTCTCACAATAAAAAAATTAAAAGGGCTGAAGATGTAGCTTAGTGCAAAGACCTTAGGTTCAATACCTAGTGCCACAAAAAATAAAACTAAACAAAACACAAACAAACAAACAAAAATATATGCAGCTCTCCTAGCTCTAAATGAAAAGCTTCTAACAGGGATCCTGGAGAGAATTAAAGGTTCTATACTTGAACAGGGAAAAAAATCACATCTTGATTTTCACCAACTTCCCAACCATGATTCAGTGCTTTCTTCAGTTATGAATGGGGTCATGAGCCCCAACAGAATTAGCTGTGAGCTGGTCACCAAAAGAAAGCACAGATTATTTTCATAACATTTTACACCTACTGCAAGTATCTCAAAAGGTCAATTACAACACTACTTTGAAATTGCTAATAGTAATTATACCCCCTGCTAGATCTTATTACTTAATGGGTTACTCAAAAGGTATCTATATCGCTAAATCACAAATATAGTTTTCTATTCACCAAGTATATTAAATGCAACTGGTTTCCTCTGTAATGTTATTTTTTATTTCCACTGAAATCACTACTCTGAGAAGGTTCCATAGGTACACTACACTGACAAAGGGGTTTATGGCATGCTCACACACACACACACACACACACACACACAAACTCAGAAACTCTCAACAGAAAACCCTCAGCAGAGTAACTCACAGAAGAAGAGTGTAAACTATGTGCTACTACGAGTGTGTCTGCTTAAAAAACAAATTAATGGAACAGAATAGAGAACCCAGAAACAGACACATAGAAATACACTCAACTGTATTTTGACAAAGATACAAAAAGAATTCAGTGGAAGCATATATGCTACTAAAGCAAATGGGCATCCATCAGTCAGAAATTGAACATCAACCTATAACTAAATTAAACCAAATACCAAATGTCAAACTGAATCTGAATAACATATTGGGTAGACTGTAACAATATCAACATGACATTATACTATAGTTTTTGCACAATATTAACATTGGTGGAAACTGGGTAAATGGTACCTAGGATTTCTCTGTCTTGTTTATTAAAACTGCATATAAATCAATAATTATCTCAACATTAAAGTTTTATTAAAAGAAAATGCTTGTATATATACAAATCATCCCTGGAGGAAAAAGAGGGGAGGTCTCCGAGGAATAAAAATGGTGAGGGTAAAAACTGTAGGAAAGAAATCTGTTCCTGGTTTATACTTTTAAACTGTTTATACATTTACATATTAATTACAACAATAATTAATATTTTCAAGCAAAACAATGACAAAAGCATGAAGAAAGAGGAAGTGCTCTCAATACTAAGCAAAAAAGC